CACACACACACACACACACACACACACACACACACACACACAAATACAAAGTAAATATAAAAAAGTCATCTGAGGTTTTGACAGTGAAGGAAAACAATTTAAAACTAAACTCAATGGGTTCCAATACATTTCAAGTTCTTTGTTTAAACTTAATAATGTAATATTATGCAGTGCTGGAGGATACAAACTAAATCCCCTATTGTTCTTAAAATGTTCATCAGTATTTAATACAACATTAAAACTTTTACCTAAGAGTCTGTAGTGATGTTACAAAGACCTATCTCTATCAATCTATATTCAGACAATCTAAGGGTGTACTCACATCAGCGCTGTTTAGTCCGCTTTACTAAAACTCTAGTTCATTTGTCTAGAAAGTCTGGTTAAGGCTGAGTCACACTACAAGATTTTAAAGCAGTCGGCCGATTTTCAGAGACTGATAGAGCCCACACACGAGGATAAAAAAATCATGGATATACCAGGTTTGGTCCTACAGTGTGTGGTGTACAGCCACACGACAAGAGACAACACACCACACACGAAAAGATATTTCATTCATGAACTGTCTGATTTTAAATCACGCGAGAATTCCTGAAATCTCATGAGAATTCAGATGTTCGAGGAAAAATCTCACGTGACCTCCAGAGACATGAGTTCAGAGTAAATAAACATTTGCAACAAGGAAGAAACAATGTGGATCGCTTGTGGACTATTTTTACCAGAGGAAAAACAATTTCTTAGGACTTTTAACATCCAGCAGACTTTCTGGTGAGTCATGACAGTTTTGGTTTACATCGCCTCGCTTTCTGATTGGCTACACGTCTCATTCAACAGGCTGCGAGCTCGGGTGAATAAACACACACTGTGATATTCGGGCCAAAAAATCAAACATGTTGAATATCCCCGATTTGAGGTTGGAGCGGACCCGATGTCCTTCCGAGCTGACTAGATCACTCTTAACTCACCACCCARGGCGGGAATATCTGCTATGATTTTCTATAGAGCCATCACGATAATCTGGACTTCCTTAAGATTGTCGGAAGGGCAAAAATCGGCATGATTTTCTTGTAGTGTGACGCCGGCCTAAGTTTGGGGAGGTGTGAATGCATAATCAATCTTTGATGCAGACCAAAAATTAAACTCTGGTTCACTTGAAAATTAAGGTATTCTCCTTACAGCTCATGGTAACTTTCAATCATTCGTAAAAAGTTCATGTTGACAATGACTTTTATAGCATCTGGTAAAATTGCACACAAATCCTTAAATACCCACAATCATTCACTTTGCTGAAAGCAGAGATTATGACAGAATTTGATGCTCAGTGCAAAAATTTCTGGTCTTTAATGCCAAACAGGCCCTTGGACACACACAGAAGATATCAATGAGTCCTATTTTTTAACATAAATACAGTTTTATGTTACGTTTTCCACTGTAGTTGCTTTAATATTTGGATTTGCAAGAATTTAAGCTGGTATRACTGCACTGAACAAATGTTGTAACTTAGGATACTGTTGTAACAAATATGAAAAAAACAAAGAAAATCATTGACGTTAAATAAAATTATTTTTCAAAACAGGAACAGTTAGTGTTTTAACAATAGCAATACTGAATGAATATTTACAACAAAACCATGCGGTGAAAATACAAAACAGTAAAAACAGAATAGCTTGACATCAGCTAGGAAAAATAAGTCAAATTCATAATGGCACAGAATAATCACAGCATTTTACATTTATTTATTTTTTGTCTTTCACAGAAACTTTAATTCCAGAGAATTCAAAGCCTATGTGGGTTATGATTTGAAGACATCTAAAATTTATTAGACATTTAAAAATACTTTAGTTCTTTTCACATTAAATGATGTCAATATCAAAATAAAAAAATGTACAGCTTTTATAGTCACAAAAAATATCAAGTCTCTAACGATAAATCATTTGTTTTATCTCCATATGACCATCAGTCTTGTCTGATTAGGGCATTGGAAAAGACAACCTTTTTTTTCCTCAGTGCAAGTTTTTTCTAGTCCCCATGGTGCCACTTGAGTTGAATGAAACTCCATTTAATGTCAGTTTGTGTGACTCAAACAACTCTTCATTTATATCAGTTTTCCAATTCTGTGGCCTGAAAGATGAGGCACTTTTTCAGTTTCATACTTCCCATTTCCAGCAACAAGATTGAAGCTCCTTTTGAAGAGTCTTTTTTAAAAACAAAGGAAGTGTGAACATCTGAGATCAGTGCAAGAAGGTGTTGCTTGTTACCAAGACCATTTTAATTGATTGCACTTAATTTAATCACTTGATTAGATTTTTTTTACCATCGCTCAAATCTGCTCAATGATCTTCATTGTCTTTTAGTGGTTAAGCACATTTTAAATTTGCTGTAATCCTAAATGCACCACTCAGCGTCTCTTAAATTTAAATTCATTCCATCATGTCATCATGTATGCAACAGAGGATAATAAGTGCCCTTTCTCAGATTGTAAACATCTGATATGGGGGTGAAAAATAGAATTAAACCACTATTTGAGCTATAGCAAGATCAGGAAATCCTGACATCCTGAAATACTCTCTTCTTCAGTATTTGTTAGAAATAAGATGGCTTAAGGGATGCTAGATTATTATTTGATGGGCAATGTTCTTGCATCAGTGGTGCTTRGTAGTCCAAACCACCATTTTGTTGTAACACTGAAGACTGATGAGAAGTCTGGCAAAAATCTTTCTGTGGTTGCTTGAGAGGTAATGTGCCATTTATTCCATTGTCCATGCAAGGTTTTATACCATCTAATTCAGTGGCGTCCGGCTCAGCTGGGCCCAGCTCTAGCTCCATTCCTGCATTTGCCTGCCTCTTCCTCCGCAGATAGATGAGGGTCCCAACCACCACAGCCAAGCCCATCACCAGTGCTAGGACTGCCAGAGCTGTGATGAGGGTGCTTGTTATAGATGTATTTCCATTCACTCGAGGCTGCACAGATGTTACAGGRATCCCCTCAGTTCGAGCCTCTGTGCATGACCCCATTTCTATTGAGCRGTTACCCTTAAAAATAATTTTCTCCCCAAGGGGACTGACACAAACAGAGTAGGTACAGTTGGGTATCAAACCACGTAAAGTGTATTCGGGGTAGGACGTTGGTAAACTCAGTACGATGGGGCGACGATCAGGTCCTGAAAGGTTGCGATAAGTCAGCCTGATGCCACGAATATTTGGCCGTGTCTCAATGAAACGGTGTAGGTCAAGCAGGATTGATGTGGAGGTCACTTGGAGAGAGGTAATTGCATTAGGCTTGTTGGGTGTCTCAGAGGCAACTGAAGGAACATTTGTTGTTGGAGGTTGTTGCTCAGGAATCTCTAACTCATTCTCACAGTAGAGGCCAACTATTCCAGAGGGGCATAAACAACTGACAAAACCAAGATAGTCTAGCATACAAGTGGCCCCATTAAGGCAGATGTTTGGGGGGCAGAAGTTTTCCTCCCTGTTTAAGCTGGGTGAGACTGGATGTTCTGGAGAAATGGGGTAATTATCTGTTCTTGAAGAAATGGTGTCTTCACTAGGTAGAATAGGAGGATGAATGGCATTAGTATGGATGATGACTGGAGGTGTGGTTGGAATTTGAGAAACAAAAGTCTTTACTTTGTGAGTGACAGCATATTCAGTTGTGGTCTGCGGACATCCAAAATCTTTGTGCTCCAGTTCTGAAAGCATTTTTCCAGCATTGACTAGAGGAAAATGACATCTGGTTATCTCAGGCCCCTTCAACTTCACTTCCTTCTCTTTTAACCAAACAGGGAACCAGGCTAATCGACATTGGCAGTTAAATGGGTTCTCAGCCACTGCCAAGTTCATCAACTTTGGAAAGCTTTCAAAAAATCCCTCAGAAAATCCTTGAAGATTAAGTCCACTAAGATCTAGTTCTTGAAGACCAGCCAGTTTTTCAAAGTCCTTCACCCTCAGCTCTATTATTGGGTTGGATGCCAGACTAAGTTTAATCAGCCCCTTGAGTGAGTCCTGCCTCAGGGCCTGAGGGACTTCCCTTAACTTGTTGCCTGATAAGTCAAGCTCATGGAGGTTCCTCAAAGAGGCTATAACATCTTCATCTACAGAGGTTAGCCCTAGAGACGCCAATTTAAGGGCCTCTAAGTTGGGGGTATGGAAATCTGAGGGTCCCAAAGTGGGGATGTTATTGTGGCTTAGATCTAAAAGAAGAAGTCTGGGAAAATTAAGAGAAGGCAGAGATGTAAGTTGGTTGCCTTGTAGCTTGAGTTCCAGCAGCATCTCTAAACCATCAAAAGCTTCCCAATGAATACTGTGTATCCAGTTCTCTTGGAGATACAGCCTTTCCAACTGAACCAACCCAAAGAAACTGTCTTTGGAAATGTGAGCAATGTTGTTAGAAGACATGTCCAAATTCTTCAACTTTGACAGTGATTCAAACACCCTGTCGGGAATTTCTGCCAACACATTCTGGCTAAGATCTAGTGTCACCAACTCCACTAGGTCTTTGAAGTCATTTTGGGATAATGAGGGAATGTCATTGTGGAAGATGAATAGATGTTGGGTGGTGACAGGAACTTGAGGTACAGTGATAAACCTTCTATTGTTGCAGAATATTGATTCTACGGAGCTGCACTTGCAGACTTCTGGACAGTCAGTGGACAACTCCGCAGCAGAGATGAGCAAGAAGAAAATTAGGTATGGCAACATGATGTTGGCGTCCTTCCAGTTCTGAAAAAACAAAAAAGAGAAAGAACAAGTGTTAACATTTTGCTTGCTGAGCTTATTCTTTAAAAAAAATAGAACTGAGTGAAATATTTTATTTTAATTCTTCTCAAACTGTAATCAAATTGGCCAGTACTTTTTGACTTAAAACTGCTCTCTAATTAGGCAGGTTTGTACGTTTGTGTAAAATGTAAAAAATAAACTCAAGTTGCAATTTATGCAGTACTATTTTATGTTATGGCGATTTTTAAATATTCTTCTCTCCCCTGTTGTTTGATAATAACCAGTTGCCCTTATTATCCAGCCAAGAATCTGTCATGTGCCACATCAACTGAACCCAGTACACTCTACATACAATCAAAACGGCAATTCATTGTAATGGCATGACATGAAGCTGCAAAACCAGTTCCTTTTGCTTTCTATTAGATTCATAAATAACTTTGGCAAAGCTGTTTTCTGCCACAGTAAGAAACCAAACAAATATGTGTTCTCATCTTTTTATATAAGATTTGACCACAGGATAGAGGAGAAACATCACTGTCAGAATGATAAGAAACAGATCAACACACAGCTCTGCACAGATGTGTGCACATATTCCTGCAAGCGTTCACACCAAAGACCCACATACAACTACACTATCTACAACACAGCTGGATTCTGTTACCCACAATTCACTGCAGTCATCCCTCACTGTGAGACAGAATGAGAGGCCCACATAAACCTTGGTCCTCCCCCGGTGATAAGAGAGAGGTAGGAGGAGACCAGACTTGAAGATTTTATTTTCTCTCTTTCTTTAGAGAAGAGAGAGGTGAATTGAGAGAGGAAAGGACAAAAAAGAGATGAAAGAGGAATTTGGAGTTTTAAAACAAAACTGATGAATTAATCCATAGCAGTGTTTGCCGTATAATAATGGTCTTGGGAGGGCAGTAGGCACAGAATGATGATTGACAACAGAAATACAGTATATAGTAGTATATAATAATATACTGGTATTTATTAAAAGAGATTGCAGCTTTTTTAATTACAGAACATATCTCTCACTTGCATCACTAATATCMCTAGCCATGAACCAGTTTTATATATCTGGAAGCTGATGTTATGTTAAAACTGCATGCCATACTCGTGAACTTCCACATGTTGCTGAAAATGATCTGCTTCGCTTGCAGAAGCTGATTGTTAAATTTGTAACATGGACTTATGAGCAAGTGAACATCTACATCTTCTTTTCATTGTCTCAGTTACCAAGAAAAAAGTTTTTCCTCCTCTGACGCCGCTGTGAAAAATACAACTATGGTTGTTAGATGCTTCGCTCTGCGCGACATACAGTGGGAGGGAGGGAGAAATTAGGAGGATTTATCCCTGTGAGTTATGTATGAGGAAATATTGAAACTTACTGTGGTAGTATATTAGAAAAATGTCAAAATTTACTTCTGTAATAAATACGAACCATCAACTTTAGCTTTTGGAGCAGGTGGTGGGATGTTAGGTGAGGCAGCTGGTTACATTAGGGGTGGCGGGCCACCCTCCTTGTACAATGGTAGGGGAAACACTGCATAATCTCTGCAGACCAAAGTTAAATTCTCTAAACATTAAGTGTATGACAGGACCCAGATATGAAGATATGATGTGTATTTTTCTGTGTTGAATAAGTACACAAAGTGATGCTTCAATACAAGCACAATATCTTACCATAAAAGCACTTTGGTAAAAGTTAAAGTCTCCCCTAAGTACATTACTTGAGTCAAATATTATTATAGTATATATTAGTATATATTATGTTTACTGTAGTTAAAACATTTGTGTGTTCTTGTATTCACCTTATCTCTTAAAGTATCTGAGATTTAATGTACTTAAGTATAAAAAGTCATTTTATGTAAAATGTACTTACGTATTAAAAGTAAAAATACTCAGTAAAAGTGAGCAGTTAGAATTTCCTAAATGACATTTATTGGGAGGTGACCTCCCCCCAACATTTTTTTCTATTGTTTGCTATTTTTTTCAGCTGCATGTAGCCTCTCTGCCATGATCATCTTAAAATGAGGCTACCCGCTATGTCCTGCTGGAGRATTACATGATTTGTGTCATGTGCAGGTGTGATGGACTGTACAAACTAATTAGGTGTCAGAATGGTATACTTCTCATCCAACCACTATCCAGGAGGCTTCATGTATCTGGATAAGTTTTTATAATTTTTTATTGAAAACAAGCCTAATTGAAATAAAAGTAATTGACTATTTTTTGAATGGTAAATGGACTGAACTTATAGAGCACTTTATACGGTCCCTCCAGACCCCAAAGCCCTTTACACTTACAGACATTCACCCATGCTCACACACAGTCACACACTGATGATGGTAAACTACATTGTAGCCACAGCTGCCCTAGGGCGCACTGACAGAGGTGTGGCTGCCATGCACCGGCGCCCCAGACCCTCTGACCACCATCTGTAGGCAAGGCGGGTGAGTGTCTTGCCCAAGGAAGCAACTGACTCCCCTAACCACTCCACCACAGCCGCCCCTTACATTTTTTTAATTGTAAGGAGTAAAAGTTCCAGATAAATAATAAATGCATGAAAATGTAAGTAGTAGAAGTAGAGAGTTGGCTGAAAAATAGTTACTCAAGTATAAATAACAACATTTTTACTGAAGTACAGTAAAAAAAGTATTTGTACTTTAGAATTTTTAGGGCATTTCTTTCAGAAAATACCAGAGTTATAAAGTAACATACAACCACAACCATTGCCATGCTTTTGTTGTTTGAAGACCGGACATGCTGTTCTTGTCCTTCCCTTTGGGATAATCTATTGCTTTTAATATGTGTACTGTAAAAGTCCACAAATTTATAAAGCCAAAAAGATTCATACCTGTTTGATCTTAAAGCATTCCTCATTTATTGCCAAGCTTTTACTTCTGTTACTGAGCTGTCTGCATCATGCATGTCTAACAACCTCTCAACATATCATTTGAGCCAAAAAAAAAAAGGACAAGCTACATCTAAGACTCTATAAAAATGTTTATATTGGACATGCATTTTTGATAAGACTTGTTAGAGAATAAATGCTGCTTCTGACTGTTTATTTTTCCCTTAGACAAGGAGAAAGWAGGTGTATACTGTGGTAAGAGCATTGATGTGCTTTTATATTTGCCTTATAAGTTGTTGCTGTTGCATAAACAGTTTGAATTCCCAGCCTAAGTTCAAGTCCGATTCTTGGAACTGGAATATAGCGAGCACTGATAGCTGTTTGCTGTGATTTAAATGCAGCTCTTTCATATTTGCTTCAGGCCGGGTGTCGAGAGAGCAAAGAAAACTAGCTCAGCTAATAGGAGAAATCTTGCCAAGAATGGGGTTATGATATTCATTTACTGCACACGTTGACAGCTAGGAGCATTATGAGACATTAAAAAGGGACTGCAAAATATTAAACATACTGATGACAAAAGCAGGTGGGTGACATCTCTAAAACAGATCCCTTCAACAGACTCACCAAAAATCAGCTAATAAACACTTACAGCTTCAGAAGAAAGGCAGAAGTGAAAGAGGGGAATTGGGGATCATAAATTGTTATAGAGTTTACATACAGGAAGGTTACATCACTTTAGTTAAAAAAAGAGGACATGAGTTATTGGTACCAACTCCCCAAAGGGGAATAATGTGTTACCTCATGGCTGAAGAGCTTAGCAACAAAATCTGTTTAACAACTTCAATCTTTCTAAGCAGATAAAGTATATCCTGTATATGTGTGTTGCACAGAAATGTGTACACACAAGCAAAAGTAAGTACAGATTTTACAGCTTCACATAAATCATGAACACAGAAATATTTAGAAAGTTCTTTTTAAATGGGGTTATGTAAAAAAGGTTACGTACAGTTATGTACTTTGGACAACCACAATTTGGTGAAAGAGAGTTTAATTCTGAGCAGATTAATGAGCTAACAGCTGGTTTCAGCAGGGCAAAGTGCAACGTTACCATCTTATAGGCACTTTACATTTTGTTTTATAAGCATTTAACCTGTTGTTAACTTAGCAATGCACTTATTTCATCAGTACACAGTGAGGGACATGAGCAGAACAGAATAGACATGAACCAAATAGAGTGAGACTTGACAATAGAGGGGCTTAAAGGCCCTCACGTACTCAGGCATACTTCACTTCGCGGAGGTCCGCGCAGACTCGAGGAGGCCTCAATGAACTGTTTTGGATGCGACATGACACCAAACTGATAAAGTTGAGAATCTGTCATTTTGTGGCTGAAATGGAGTCAAATTAACAAGCGTGTCCCACGGAGGAGATTTTAACATAGAAACTTATGATACATCAGTGGGGGAATAGGACTTCAGAGAGCAAAACATATGTGGGAGGAAATAGCTCAGACCGTGGGTAAAGTAAGCTATCTCTTCCTCCTCGTGCACTGACACCATGACTGAAATTGTGAGCAATTAAGGAATTTGTCAGGCGATCAGTACGCTCAAGTTTGAACTCTCAACCATTTGCAGACAATGGGCCTCATGCAAGAACCGTTCGTACGCACAGATTTGTTCATTGTGCGTACGAGTGATTTAGGAGAATGTGATTACGGTGCGCAGCGCTGTGGCTTCTGAATAAATGAAAATGATTTAACACAGTTGTTTATACTTTTAGCAGCTCTTTTTATCCCACAGCTGACCTGCTAAAAATGACAGTTTTTTTTTCTGGATCTCTGACAGACAGACTTCAATCTCTGAACTCGTAAAGTTTTTCTTTTAAGTTTTCGCTGTCATTTTCATGAATGGACACTTCCTGATATCTGAGGCAGGAATCATAGCCTTATATGGTGTTTTTGGGGTGGTAATTAAGCTAATCTCCTCTCGCCTGCAAGAGCAGCTGGATAGAACAGGTGGAAATTTACGCAGCTCATTTACGAACGTTTCCTGAAGATAGAAGAGTTTGTTGAATCTGACGTGACATGTTCGTACGAACCCTTTGTARGAACAAAAGTAAGAGAAATTTAGGATAAGAATACGAACATGTTCTTGCATGAGGCC